GGGAAGAGCCACACAAGTGCCTGCAGAGCCTGAGCAGGCACCCGGCCGGGTTTCAGCCGAGCTGTCCTCATCTACGCATTGATTTAGGATATTTAATTTTTCTGTCTTTAAACCCAAAGCTTTGTGGAAGGTTTTTCATATTTCTTAAATAAGATATCTAATTATAAACCACTACCTTCTCATTTCTGTTTTCAAGCACAATCCATGCTTTTCCCTGCAGGCACAGCATGTCACGTCCTCTGCCACCAGCCAGGCATCGCCGTCCCCCATCCCACAGCACTGCACACAGGTGCTCCCCCTCCCCATGGGGCACAGGGCAAAGCTGTCCCTGGGGATGCTCAAGCCTCGGTGGTTTCCCCGTAGAGCTCCTGCCAAACCCCCGCTGTCTCCTACAGCCACGGCAAGGCCAGGCGGGCTCAGGCATGGCTTGCAGCAATGTAGGTTAATATTTGCAGACTGAAGCATTTTCCCCACCTGACTGCATCTCTCCTGGGTTAAGCCAGAGTCAAACCCTCCATGACAGGTGCCCCCAAGGCTGCGACAACCCCAAAGATGTGCCAACCCAACTCTGCCCCGCACACAGGGATGGATGGATGGATATGCCAGTTTCTCGTGCAGCTGAAGTTGTACAGCATTACCAATAGGTGGGAGCCTTTTACCGGGAGAGCCAGAGCCAGCATCAGTCTGGAGCCAGACAACACAGCGGGGCTGGCACCCCACTGCAGGCACCCGCACCCCGCTTTGCTCTGGGAGCTGCACCCTGACCCGGGGCTGGCCAACACTGCCGGGAGAGGAGAGACCCCTGCCCAAATGCAGGCTGGCAGAGCCCCGCATACCTCCTTCCAGGGTGGTTTCCATGCTGCTGCCCAGCACCGAGGAGGTCCTGGAGGAGCATCTGCCCTCCAACTCATGTCGGGGTGCATTCACCAAACACTGCCTGTGCCCAAAGCCCCCCAGCGCAGTGCTGCCAAGATCAGATCAGCTGCGGGAGCGATGGCCTGGGCTTATCTGTCAGCGTGGAGAGGGATACATTTGCATCACGTACAGACTTTAATTTCCTATGATTGTATCTGGTTTTTTCCCCATCCTTTCAAGCAGAGCAGCAGTTTGCAGACCATGAGGGTGGAGCGTTCCTGCTGGAGCGCTCAGGGCTGCGCAGGGTAACACGAAGCAATCCTGCACGGCCTTTTCTGCCTCCAACAGCAGCGTTTGCTCCAGCACAGCATGGTTCACATCGGTTATTTGAGCCCACAGGTCACCCCAGGGGAGGAGAAGGGAGGAACGTTGACAGGATAAGAGACACAGCCTGTCCTGTGCCAGCCACCTTGGGGATGAAACCCTGGATCCAAAACCCAGCACCACCATCCCAACCCGGCGAGGCAACCGGTTTCACTTAAACAAGCAAAAATCCCGAAATAAATTGTGTAACACCTATAAAAACTTCCAAAGGCAAAACTGAAATAAAACCCCAAAACAGCCATCACAGAGGAATTCCCCAGTAGCTGTAGTATTTTATCCCAGCTTATCCTCCTGCGCTCTTCACGTGCACCTGCCCGCGCCGAGGGAAGCCTCCGCCATAAGTCGATCCCTAAATCTGCTGCAACAGCAGCGGTTAATCCCAGCCGCTGAATCATCCCTACCCCTGACAGCAGCGAGAAATAACACAACGCACCAGACACAACAGCCCTCACATCACACAGCCCCGCCGCGCTGCCAGCATAAATATGCCAACTATTTTAAGCCCCCTCAAAGGATCTAGATTCGCTCGTAAGCCAAACTGCAAACAGCCTAAGAGCTGTAAAGGCGGCCGTATGGGGTACACCAGCATGAGCTACAGCCCAGAAAACAACCAGCCCCTTTCAGCCGCAGGAAACTCTTCCTAGCCCTTTGCAATGCACATTAGAAATCTGGTTGAAAGCCAAAATAAGGGAGATTTATATTTCGGCATGCTACAGACGGTTAAAACTAGCTTTGACTCTGTCACCAAGCAGTTACTGAGGTACACCACTACTTTCAATAAATAGGAAGAGATGAAAGTGCAGCTCCTGAGCAGGGACTTTAACCAGCAGCCAGTGGTTTGAAGAGCCATTCCTGCCAAAGTCACCGTGTCCTGATAAATAAATCAGAGCTTTCAAAAGTCCATCAGTCTGGAGGTCAGGGGTATAAATATGGCTTCAGGAGTCAAATTTAACTTGCTAATTTTTATAAAAATATCTGAAAAGGGTGATGAGTGCAGGGACAGCAATTCCCAAATGATTTTTTTTCGTGCCTTGGCACTTTAAAAGCTGTTATTACTGCAGGGACAGGCACCTACCTGGCTGGTTGTCACCATGCTGCATCCCCCAGAGACTTCAGCAAACACAAGCCCTGTCCTGCCCAGCCTCCCAGGACACAGCTCCCAGTACTCCAGGGGCCACGGTGGGCTCCAGCAGCAAACAGGCAGCCCAGGCATTCGCAGGAGCAAAGTTTGCAAAATCCAGTGCTGCAACAGGAGCCAAGAGCCAGGTCACAGATGGGTAGCAGCGGGATAATCCTGCCTCATTTTGGGGGTATGGATTTATTTCGGCAAAGCACCAAAGGAGCAGCTAGGAAGGATGGCACAGGCGAGGACCGACGGGTGCCGGGGCCCCACAGCCAGGCGAATCCGCGTCCTGTGACATCTTGCCCTGTCAAGTGCAATTACTGTAATCTTCCACAGCCTCTCAAAATACGGATCCCGGCTTAGAAACCGGGCATCCGCAGCATGAAAGCTGCCTTTGTGCCCGGGC